TCAATATTTAACACACTGTTAAAGGTGAATCTACTATTATACCCGATACACCTAAACGCATATATATACATATATATAATGTAAAAACGTTTGTACATTCAGTAGAAAAATCCATCTTCGGCAAGATCTTTGTGCATGCAGACCGATGATGGCCTCCTTCGACATGCTCTTCAATCGGCTTATCTAGGTGTCGTGAAATCACATTTCTTTTCGGTCTGAATGTGCTGGTAGAGACCAGTTTTCATCCGGAGATCCTCCTTGAGACGAAGCGATAGCAGGGAATAAATCTGATTGATCTCACGGGTAAGATTTATTACAGTGTTCATAAATACTAATCAGCGTAAAAGATACCAACTACTCACTGCTTCGGGATACGTCCGGCCCTATGTCTTGACGTAAAATCTGCAAGCGTCGGCCTCAACACGTCCTTGATCCGAATCGTCCCAACTCGATGTAGTACCGGTACACCTGGCTAAGATATTGCCTTGAACAATTGTAACATTTCCAGTTTGGCTAACCCCTAATAAAGGGCATTGGGGAAAATGGCGTTGATGTTCTCCTATTGGCGTGTCAGTTTTTTCCCAGGTTCCAACTATCCCTCTGCAGAGATCAACGCACATTGATCATCTTTCCTGAGATATAAATCCGTCGGCCGCAATTCTGACGGTTTGCAGCCATTCATGAGGCCAGTCGTGAAGGTTCCTATCTCTTTCGTCGTATCTCAGACAATCGGTAGCCGACAAACGGGCATGGTTCCCTGTATACTATAAGTGGATCGATTGGGAGATATCCCATGTTCGCTGACGTGTTTAACCGATACTCTTCCTGCTGCAGAAAACTGTTAGGATGTGATATATCCATCGTCTTTCGGTTACATTGATCTTGCCTGGCTATGAAAACATTTTCTTATGGACGAATTAGAGATATTCTCCCGATCTTCCGATTTAAAAAAAAATTACTTACACTACACTTAAAAGTACTAGGACCGGAGGAGGAGGAGAGGTCCGGAGTCGAGTCTAACTTTATAGTTCAGTCGGTTTTTATATAGCTGGCCATGTTTCTAAATACGTATTCCAGTTTTTAAGATGTGTCCACTTTTAAAAGGGACGGCACTTTAAAACTGGACATGTTTTTAAAAGTGGACACATCTTAAAAACTGGACATGTCTTAAGTGGACATTTTTTTAAAAGTGGACCACACTTACAACTGACATGTCTTAAAGTGGACATCAACCTTCTAAACTGGACTTTCTTAAAACTGGACATGTCTTAAAACTGGACATGTTTAAAAGTAGGACAATATTTTAAAAGAGGATACACCTTAGATATGTTCCACTTTTAAGACAATTTCTTTTTAAGGTGTGTCCTCTTTTAAAATATGTCCACTTTTAAGACCTGTCCAGTTTTTAAAACATGTCCAGTTTAAGGTGTGTCGCACTTTTAAAGCATGTCCAGTTTATAAGGTTGTCCAAACTTTTTAAAGCTGTCCAGCTTTTAGGTGTTCCTCTTTTAAAATATTCCAACTGTTAAGACATGTCCGCTTTTAAGGTGTGTCCCTCATTTAAAAATATGTCACACTTTTAAGACATGTCCAGCTTTTTATGGTGTCCTCTTTTAAAATATGTCCACTTTTTAAAGACATGTCAGCTTTTAAGGTGTGTCCTCTTTTAAAATATGTCCACCTTTTTAAGACATGTCCAGCTTTTTTAAGGTGGGTCTCTTTTTAAATATGTCCCTTTTAAGACGATTTCAGCTTTTTAGGTGTGTCCTCTTTTAAAATATGTCACACTTTTAAGTACATTCCCGCTTTTTAAGACTGTCCATATTTTAAAAACGTCCCATTTTTTGAAACATGTCCATTTTTTTTCAGACTATCCACTCTCAAAGTAAGTTTAACGGCTAACTTTCCGTGATTATGATAAACACGACTCAATAAAGACGATCGGAATAATAGAATATGTATGCTGTAGATCAAAGGATCGTGATCATTTTATCGTTTCCGATGGGGCAACAGCCAAATTCTGATATACTATAATGTGATTTACATATTTTAAGAGGACACACCTTAAGCTGGACATGTCTTAAAGTGGACTATTTTAAAAGAGGACACCACCTTAAAAGCTGGACATGTCTTAAAGTGGAGCATATTTTAAAAGAGGACACACCTTAAAAGCTGGTATTCTCGCTAAACTCCCAAAGGCCAATTAATGACGTTAACAATCGTTCTGATTCTATCTTCAAAACTTTTACCATTTAACGCTGTGCTATTCATGGATGCTACTTTTTATCGGTTTTCTGGGTTGGATCGGCAGTGATGGGCAACTGAGAAAAGATCGATATGTACAGATAGAAGTGTGAATCTATTTACCTCATCGTGCCCACATTCTTTTCCTCCGTGACCGCTGGTACTGCGCTAACCAGGCCATATCCTTGCCACTTTAACGACACAGTTAAATCACGGCGATATGTTGTATTTTTGACATTTACGGCATCGAATCATTAAGCTCTTGCAGTTATAGATGCTTGTTGTTGCCTTTTTGGGTATGTCGTAGACAGAGACGGATGACGACATCATCGATGACGAAGGTACTATTGGCGTAACCGTCTCCGTCCTGTGAATTCTATTCTTTTTCTTATTCATCGGTGTAAAGTGTTATAATGCTTCATCGACTTGTCAATTTCAAATACACCTTGACCTATATTTCGGGGAACGTCATATTTTACATCATTTGGAACTATGACAGGTGTTTGTTTCTTTTGGTGTATTGTGTTGTTGCTGTTATTAATAATACCGTTATTTGTTATTATTATTTTTCTTTTCCTTATAGTATCCATTTTTTTCTTTATAGCCTGTATCTGTTTGCATCTCACTGTATATCTGTACATTGTTACGTTGGTATCTGACAATGTAGTTGGTGTCACACGATTATTAGTATTTGTATTTTATCCATTATAACGTAAGTGTTCTCTTCATTGATATTATGGTATATGTGTTCTTTCTCTTCATTTTCTTCCTCACGGTGATATCGCCTAAACTCTGGATACCCGTTATGTTGATCGAAGGGGACAGTATCGGTGTTCATATTTCGATAGTACCAGTCGAGTGGTTTGCTCTTCTGACTCAGACTAGTATTGGGTAGCATATCGCCCTACATCTACGCTATCATATACGACACCCAGACACTTCTTGAACTTTTGGTCTTGTATGTCGGTTACATTGAATAACCACTGTAGGTTGAACAATTTACTCTTTGTATTCTTCTTAGAGTGATCGATTTTAGATGCAGATTTGCATAACAGTAGTGCACAACTCGTTTTACTTCTCTTGCTAGCATAATCAGACGAATATTCTTCTTCTTGTTTGTTGTATCATCTTCTATGGTATTTCTTATATTTCTTGAATATCGAAGATATTTTTCTTCAGCTACTAGCATCCTTGCTGCTTCTTTTACTAATCTTAAATTTGTATCTCTGTCTGTGAGGTACTCATAGATCGCAATTCCGGCTGCGGTCGGTAAGTGAAAAAAGGATAAATCATGTTTAATCAAGGCGTTTCTGGACATCGATAATGTACTCCTTTCAATCAGCTTTAATGTCGTATATTTTTTTCAGATGTCTGTCGCGATACAATTTATTAAAATAACACATATTCCACAAGAAATCTATTATATATGGAATACTATAATTCTTACTCTTATCGTTGTCACTATCGTTGTGATTTTTCCTGTGGCATTTATATTCTTCCTCCGTAATATATTTGTGAATAAGACACCTTTCTACCAATTCGTTCTCTATACGCCTCATGGTAGATTCACTCCAGCCTTCGTTCAAAATACCGTACGTTAAAGCACTAATTGTGTATGTGTGTATAGGATTGTTTGTATCAGCATCAGCATCATCGTCACTTGCAGTACACGATGCTAGTTCCATGACATTGTTCACGGTATATATCTTCTTTTTTGAAAATAGCAAATTGTCATGTTCCTGTACTTTTCTTATACCGTTAGTGACAAAGAACGCTTGTCTCCGTATCTGCTGTATGCGGTGAATGACATCTTCACCAAAAAACAGGAGCTTATAATCAATATAGTCATACATTATTGTAATTAGAGTAGCTTACCTCTCAGTATTATAGCTCTGAAAAACTTCAAAGGATATTTCGCAATGTCCTCAATGATATCAGGTAACCGACTTCTGTCATAGGAATCTACATATAAAACAGTTGAAAGAGTATCGTTCGCTGATTGTCCTCGTCCTTTACTTTCGATGATAACAGTTTTCAAATGACCGCTGCTGTGAGAATATAGCGCTCTACTTTGATACACATACGCCTTTCCGCCGTTATAGATGTCGCTAGTATTTAAAGGTTCATCGCCAATAGCGACGCGATCGTCGTTTCTTTGTATTCTCCCTCTCACGATGGTATTGGTTTCACAATTTGGTCTGACTTCGACTTTCACTGTAGGGAAATGTAACAGATATTCTGCAGCATTAGATCTCTTCAGATTTACGGTTATTCCCTTTTCCATCAATAATCCCAGTGCGCAGTATAACGTTAAACAGAGAGCTTCTTCAGACGCATGGGTTATTATTACGCCATCGTCTCTGTACGACGATTTAATGCCGTCTCTGTCAGAAAGATCATGTGTCGATATCGGATAACCGGCTTCTGTCAGTGCGTTCAGTAATCCCACCATTGATGAATAGTATATCTTTCCATATTCTCTCATTGTCAGGTAATGTTTTTCGTTGTCTCATATAGTCATCGTTGTTATTAAAATTATATTCACGTTTATCGTGATATTTTTTTTTAAACTTAGTGTTCTCACCATAGACGAATAGTATATCTTTCCGCCTTCTCTCACTGTCAGGTAATAATATTTATTATCTTGTATATAATCATCGTTGTTATTTATTGCTAAGAGTTTATATACACGTTTATCGCGTATATATTATTACGTGTGTATATGTGTCTGAGTATCACGTTATATGTGAATATTATTAGGATACAATAGCTCTGCACACATGTTTGATGTCTCTTCTACAGATGGGGCACTGTCTCAGGGATACAGCACAGGAAACGCACGTAACCATATGCGAGCACGGAAGAAACACTATAGCTATTTCACTGTCCATGCACACTTTACATGTGCGATCTTCACGCATCCGTTCGAGTTCTTCTTTCATCTGTTCGTCTAAAATGGAAAGATGATAAATACACGTGTTAATTTTCGATAATAATAAGAATGATAATAACTAACAATAACAACAATAAAAATAATAATAGTAACAATGTATTCATCTATAATAGTAAAATTTAAATAATCAATCATAATATAGATTATACTTACAAGATTGTCTTGACTTGAATTCTTCTTTTTCCTCATATCCCTCCTTTTCTTCATATCCCTCCTTCTCTTCTTCACTAGTCTGTGATATGCTTTCTTCTACTATTTGCAAAATATGGTTTGCTTCAGTTTCGGTATTTTCTCGTTCAAATGATGATGATAACGTTGTAGTCAGAGGTGCAATAGGGAATATAGAAGCCTGCTGTCGTATTATTTCGGATGTAGATGGAAATATAGAAGCCTGTTGCTGTTGAGATAATGGTTCAACCTCGGTAGATTCGAATGGAAGCGGTTGAATATTTGCAACCCGATTCCCCATGGTTTTTAGACGTAGATGGGAATATCGGTGCTTGTTGTTGAAATATCGAAGATGAAATATCGGCCTCACCATATGACGGCTCACGCTCTGTACTCTCAGAACGATTATCTGCGACCCGATTCTCTGTTACGCTCATTCTCTGTATAACATCTTCAAGGCAAGGCTCTATAACGAAATACGGTTCGCCGGTTTGTTCAACCCGATCTTTAAGGCAGGCCCTGACTATACAACTAGGATATCCCATTTCCAGTACACACTTGACGACATCCAAACTCATCAACAGATCCAATTCTTGTTCGGATACGGATTGCACCTCCGTTGGATTATTTACTGCTACCGGAAGCAGCCTTATCGATACCCGAATATACAGTACTCGCTGTGCGGGTGTACGGTGAATATTCTCGCTGGACCTAAAAGAAATTATAACAGTGTTAACATCATAGTAATAGTAATCTAATAATAACGATAATAAAACAACAATTAATAAAAATATCCAGCAAAATAAGATACAATTAAGAGGCGTATACATACTTCATTGATATAGTCCTGGCCTTTCTTCAATAAGACAAATCTGCATTTAGGATACCATCTAGCGTGTTCCTTCCAAGGTATGTCGCTAGATATCCAATTGCGAGACCCTTACCGCAGGTGGAAACAGCGAACATGATCACTCAGACCTATGTATACTTAATAAACGGTAACTGTGTTTCTTTTGCAAAAGTATTTAATGCTTCTTTTGATAGAGAAAACGCAATCAATTCCAGAGATCTTAATAAGCTGATGCTGTTATCCAATATTTAACACCTGTAATGAATCTACTATTCCGATACACGTAAACGCATATATATACATATATATATATAAAAACGTTTGACCACAGTAGAAAATCCAGCTTCGGCAAGTCTTGTGCATGCAGACGAGGATGGGCCATCCTTCGACATAGCTCTTCAATCGGCTATCTAGTGTCGTGAAATCACTTCGTTCGGTCTAGAATGCTGGTAGAGACCAGTTTCATCCGGAGATTCCTCCTGTGAGACGAAGCGATAGCAGGGAATAAACGGATTGAGCTCACGGGTAGTAAAGAGTTATATACAGTGTTCATAAATACTAATCAGCGATAAAAGATACCAAACTAATCACTGCATTCGGGATACGATCCGGCCATATGTCTTGACGAAAATCTGCAAGCGTCGGCCTCAACACGTCTTGATCCGCAATCGTCCAGACTCGGATGTAGTACCGGTAACCTGGCTAAGATATTGCCTTGAACAATGGGAAACATTTCCAGTTGGCTTACCCCTAATAAAGGGACATTGGGGAAAATGGCGTTGATGTTCTCCTCTTGGCGTGTCAGTTTTTTCCCAGGTTCCAACTATCCCTCTGCAGAAGATACACGCACAGTGATCATCTTTCCTGAGATAATAAAATCCGTCGGCCGCCAATTCTGACGGTTTCAGCCATTCATGAGGCCAGTCGATGAAGGTTTCCTAATCGCTTTTCTTCGTATCTCAGACAATCGTAGCCGACAAACGGCATGTCCCTGTATACTATAGTGGTATCGATGGGAGATATCTCATGTTCGCTGAACGTGGTTAACCGATACTCTTCCTGCTGCAGAAAACTGTTACGGATGTGATATATCCTCGTTCTTCGGTTACATTGATCTGGCACTGGCTATGAAAAATTTCTTATGGACGCATTAGAGATATTCTCCCGATCTTCCGATTTAAAAAAAAATTACTTACACTACACTTAAAAGTACAGGAACCGGAGGAGGAGGAGAGAGTCGAGTCGAGTCTAACTTTATATTATCAGTCGGTGTTTATATAGCTAGGCATGTTTCTAAATACGTATTCCAGTTTTTAGATGTGGTCCCACTTGAAAAGAGGACGCCCACTTTAAAAACTGGACATGTTTTAAAAGTGGACACATCTTAAAAACTGGAATGTCGTTAAAAGGGACATGTTTTAAAAGTGGACACACCTTACAAACTGGACATGTCTTAAAAGTGGACACACCTTATAAACTGGACCATGTCTTAAAACTGGACATGTCTTAAAACTGGACATGTTTTAAAAGTGGACATATTTTAAAGAGGATACACCCTTAGATGTGTCCACTTTTAAGACATGTCCAGTTTTTAAGGTGTGTCCTCTTTTAAAATATTGTCCACTTTTAAGACATGTCCAGTTTTAAAACATGTCCAGTTTATAAGGTGTGTCCACTTTTTAAAGCATGTCCAGTTATAAGGTGGTGTGTCCACTTTTAAAGCATGTCCAGCTTTTAAGGTGTGTCCTCTTTTAAAATATGTCCACTTTTTAAGACATGTCCAGCTTTTAAGGTGTGTCCTCATTTAAAATATGTCCACTTTTAAGGACATGTCCAGCTTTTAAGGTGTGTCCTCTTTTAAAATATGTCCACTTTTAAGACATGTCCAGCTTTTAAGGTGTGTCCTCTTTTAAAATATGTCCACTTTTAAGACATGTCCAGCTTTTAAGGTGTGTCCTCTTTTAAAATATGTCCACTTTTAAGACATGTCCAGCTTTTAAGGTGTGTCCTCTTTTTAAAATATGTCCACTTTTAAGACCATGTCCAGCTTTTAAGACATGTCCATATTTTAAAACGTCCATATTTTGAAACATGTCCATTTTTTCAGACATATCCAACTCTCAAAGTAAGTTTAAACGGCTACTTTCCGTGATTATGATAAACACGACTCAATAAAGACGAATCGTAAGAATAGAATATGTATTGCTGTAGATTCAAGGATCGTGATCAATTTATCGTTTCGATGGGGCAACAGACAAATTCTGATATACTATAATGTGATTTTACATATTTTAAAAGAGGACACCCCCTAAAAGCTGGACATGTCTTAAAAGTTGACATATTTTAAAAGAGGACAGACCCTTAAGGATGCTTGAACCGATGTCGTTACTAACTATGGACATTTTGTTATAAGGGACACACATTAAAGCTTGTATTTTTCGCTAATCTCCCAAGGCCAATTAATGAACGTTTACAATCGGTTCTGATTCGTATCTCAAACTTTTACTTTAACGCTGTCGCTATTCATGAATGCCTACTTTTTTGATCGGCTGGGTTGGTCGGCATGGTGTGCCACTGAGAGATCGATATGTACAGATAGACACGATGTGTTATCTATATTTACCTTTTCATCGTGGCAACACATTTCTTTTCCTCCTTGTCCCGTCTGGTACTGCGCTAACACTGGCATCCATTGCACTTTAACGACACACGCGATATATTTTAGTATTTGACATTTACGGCAATCGAATCATTACGCTCTTGCAGTTAATAGATGCTTGTGTTGCCCTTTGAAGGTATGTCGTAACACGAGACTGCGTGAATGAGCGCCATTTCTATGCGATGAACGAAGGTACTATGGCGTAACCGCTCAGCGTCCCCTGTGAATTTCTTAGGCTTGTGGATTCTTAATCATCGGGTAAGTGTTATAATGCTATGCATCTGTACTTATTCAATTTCAATACACCTTGACAGTGATAGTTCGTGGGTTGATAGATGCCGTCCCATACTGTTTTCATATCACTTATGAGAACTATATCAGGTTGTTTGTGTTCTTTTGGTTATGTGATGGTTTGGTATGCTGTTATTGCTAATAGCACCGGTTATTGTTATTATTATATTTTTGCTTTTCCTTATAAGTATCCCATTTTTTTCTTTCTAGCCTGTATCTGTTGCATCTCACTGTATATCTGTACATTGTTAAGTTGGTATCTGAACAATGTTTTTTGTGTGTCACCGGATTATTAGATCAGATTTGTATTTATTAAGCCATTTTAACGTAATGTGATGTTGGTCTGCTTTCATTGATATTATGGTGATGGTGTTTGGTTCTTTTCTTCTTCTTCATTTTTCTCGCTCACGGTGATCGTTCTGCAGACTATTAACTCTGTGAGTACCCGTTATGTTGATCGAAGGGGACAGTTATCGGTGTTCATGATTTTCGATAGTACCCGTCCGAGTTGGTTTTGCTCTTCTGACTCAGACTAGTATTGTGTGCATATCGCCTACATCTACGCTATCATATACGACACCCAGACCTTCTTGACTTTTGGTCTTGGTATGTCGGTTCATTGAATAACCACTGTAGGTTCAACAATTTACTCTTTGTATTCTTCTTAGAGTGATCGATTTTAGATGCAGATTTGCATAACGTAGTGCACCAAGAACTCGATTTTACCTTCTCTTGCTAGCATAACATCAGACGATATTCTGTCCTTCTTGTTGTGTTTGTCCGTCCATCTTCTATGGTATTCTATATTCTTTGTAATATCGAAGAATTAGTTCTTTTCTTCAGCTATACTAGCGATCCTTTGCTGCTATGAGATCATCTTTTATCTAATTCTTAAATGTTGTATCCTCTGTCGTGTTGATGTTTCATTAGATCGCATAATAGGCCGTGCTGCGGTTTCGGTTATAAGTGGGAAATAAGGTATATATAATCACTTTATTTAAATCAAGGCTATTCGGATCATCGATAAGTGTTACTCCGTTTCATCTCAGCATTATGTCGTGATTACTTTTCTTCAGGATGTCGTGGTCCGCGTATATACATTTATTTTATAGAAATCACACAATATTCACATCAATATGAATCTATTCACTAGTAGTGGGAATACTATAATTCCTTACTCGTATCGTTGTGCTCACTATCGTTGTGATTTTTTTTCCCGTGGTGGCATTTCATATTCTCCTCCGTAATATATTTGTGAATAAGACATCCTTTCTACAATTCGTTCTCTATTACAAAAAAAAAAAAAAAAAAGGCCTCATGGGTAATTCACTCCAGCCTTCGTTCAATAGCCGTACGTTAAATATGCACTAATTGTGTATGGTGGTGTAAGTAGGTTTGTATTTGTATCAGCATCAGCCATCATCGCACTTGCAGTACACTGCTATTTCCCATGACATTGTTCACGTGATATACGTCTTTTTTGAAAATAGCAAATTGTATGTTCCTGTACTTTTCTTATACCGTTAGTGACAAAGACGCTTGTCTCCGTATCTGCTGTTATGCGGTGAATGACATCTTCACCAAAAAACAGGAGCTTATAATCATATATGTCCATTACATTATTGTATATTGTAGAGTAGCTTACCTCTCTCCGTATTATAGCTCTGAAAGCTTCAAAGGATATTTCGCATGTCCTCATGTATCAGGTAGAGCCGACTTTCCTGTTCTGTCTAGAATCTACTATATAAACAGTTGAAAGAGTAGTCGTTCGCGTGATTGTCCTCGTCCTTTACTTTCGAGATAACATTTGTCAATGGACCGCTGCTGTGAGAATATGCGCTCTACTTTGATACACATACGCCTTTCCGCGTGAATAGATGTCGCTAGTATTTAAAGGTTCATCGCCAATAGCGACGCGATCGTCGTTTTCTTTGTATTCTCCGCTCTCACGATGGTATTGGTTTCACAATTTGGTCTGACTTCGACTTCACTGTAGGAATGTGACAGATATTCTGCAAGCATTAGATCTCTTCAGTTTTACGGTTATTCCCTTTTCCATCTAATAAGTCCCTAGTGCGGCAGTATAACGTTAAACGAGAGCTTCTTCATACGCATGGGTTTTTAATCGCCATCGTCTTCTGTACGATCGATTTAATGCCGCTCTGTCAGTAAAGTTCATGTGTGATATCGGATAACCGGTCTTCTGTCAGTGCGTTCAGTAATCCCACTATTGATGACTGTATATCTTTCCATATTCTTCTCATTGTCAGGTACTGTTTTGCTTTCGTTGTCTCATAAGTCTCGGTTGTTTATTAAAATTATATTCATCGTTTTGATCGTGATATTTTTTTTTGAAACTTAGTGTTCTCACCATAGAGGGCGAATAGTATAGTCTTTCCGCCTTCTCTCACTGTCAGGTAATATTTTATTACTTGTATATATCATCGTTTGTTATTTATTGCTAATAGTTTATTCACGTTTTATCGCGTATATATTTTAAGTGTGTATATGTTCTGATATCACGTTATATGTAATATTATTAGGATACCTAGCTCTGCACACATGTTTGATGTCTCTTCTACAGATGGGGCACTGTCCCTCAGGGATACAGCACAGGAAACGCACGGTAACCTATGCGAGCACGGAAAGAACACTTAGCTTTTCACTGTCCCATTGCACACTTTACATGTTGCGATCTTCACGCATCTTGCCGTCTCACGCATTTCGCTTCTTCTTCTCTGTTCGGTCCTAAATGGAAGATGATAAATCACGTGTTTAATTTTCGATAATAATAAGAATGATAATAACTAACTAACACATAAAAATATAATAGTAACGAGTATCATCTATATAGTAAAATTTAAATAATCAATCATAATATGATTATACTACAAGATGTCTTGACTTGAATTCTTCTTTTTCCTCATATCCCTCCTTTTCTTCATATCCCGTCTTCTCTTCTTCACTAGTCTGTGATATGATTTCTTCTACTATTTGCAAAATTGGTTTGCTTCAGTTTCGGTATTTTCCTCGTTCAAATGATATGGATACGCTAGCTATTAGGTGCATTATTGTCTTCTCAAGCCTGGCAGATAGTGAGCGTTGCTAATTAGTAGAATGCACTCGCTCGGATCTAGTCTTAGATATTATCCTTGGAGGTTTCGTAAGTCTTTGATGGTCGAAAGGTATCACGTCTTGAAGCTCTTGTTGGTGGCTCGTCGAGATCAATTGTTTCATATTCTGTTCGTAGAATCTCAATGGTGCAAGCGTATTAGAAATATTATGTCACTTAAACACCATTCCTCTTTGATGGTTGTAGGATCATGCGTATTAGGCAGTGAGTTACTTATTTCTGATTGTTTTCTAGTAGGATGATTTTACTATTCGAGTTTGTTAAGGGAATATTTCGAAGATGAATATCGGCGCGACTCAGTACCGCATTATGGAGCGGCTCACGCTCTGTGACTCCTCAGACGTTATCTGCGCCCCGATTCTCTGTTACCGATGTCATTATTCTCTGTATAACTATCTTCAAGTCGAGGCTCTATATGACTCGAAATAGCTGGTGTCGCCGTTGTTCATAGGCCCTCGATCTTTAAGCTAGGCCTCTTGCTATACAACTAGGGATCCATTTCCAGTACCCTTGACTGACATTCCAAGACTATCACCAGACTCGTCACATTTCATGGTGTATTTCGTGAATACGGATGTGCAATGGTTCCTTTGCCGTTGGATTATTACTGCATACCTGGAAGCAGTCTTTCGGATACCCGTATATAAGTTAGCGTCGTGTTTCTGGTGGTGCGGGGTTACGTGATGATTATTCCCTCTGGTGCTCGGACAGCGCCTGTATGAAAGAAGAATAAAGTTAATTGCAGTGTTAACATTCTAGGTAGTAATCTAGAAACGATATAAAACAACAATTTATAAATGAGTGCCAAGCAAATAAGATACCATTACGAGTTAGTGCGTATTGAAGCATCACTTCTTGATAATTCCTGGGCCTTTCTTCATAGACAAATATGCATTTAGGATACCCTAGCGTGTTCCTCCAAGGTACTGTCGCCGAGATATCCAATTGCGAAGGGTGTACCACTTTCACAGTCTGCCTGTTGGTAGCAAACAGCGAACATGATCAATCAGGGTCGGGTTGGTTACCTATGTATATATACGGTAACTGTTGTTTCTTTTGCCAAGTTATTTAATGCTGTCTTTGATAGAGAAAACGCAATCATTCCAGAGATCTAATAAGCTGATGTCTGTTCTACAATATTTAACGGGACACCTGTAATGAATCTACTATTAACCGATACACGTAAACGGCATATATATACATATATAATATAAACGTTTGTTTTAACACCAAAACCCCAGCAGAAAAATCCAGCTTCGGCAAGATCTTGTCATGCAGACCGAGGATGGGCCATACCTTCACATGCTCTCAATACGGCTTATCTAGAGTGTCGTGAAATCACTTATTCGTTTCGGTACTAGAATTCTGGTAGAGACCAGTTTCGCATCCGGAGATCCTCCTGTGAGACGATCGATTGCAGGAATAATCTGTATTAGCTCACGGGTAAAGAGTTATACTACAGTGTTCATAATGCTAATCAGCGATAAAAGATACAAACTCTCCCTGCATTCGGGATATACGATCCGTCATATGTCTTGACGAAAATCTGCAAGCGTCGGCCTCACCACGTCTTGATCCGCAATCGTCCAGACTCGGATGTAGTACCGGGTAACCTGCTGAACTAGATATTGCTTGAACAATGGAAATTTCCAGTTGATGACCTGTTACATAAAGGGACATATTGGGAAAATGGCGTTGATGTTCTCCTCTTGGCGTGTCAGATTTTTTCTCCCGGTTCAATATCCCTCTGCAGAAGATACACGCACAGTGATCATCTTTCCTGAGATCATAAAATCCGTCGGCCGCCAATTACTGCCTTTTCAGCCATTCATGAGCCCAGTCGATGAAGGTTCCTAATCGCTTTTCTTCGTATCTCAGACAATCGTAGCCGACAAACGGCATGTCCCTGATCTAATAGTGTATCGATGGGAGATATCTCTGTTCGCTGAGACGTGGTTAACCGATACTCTTCCTGCTGCAGAAAACTGTTAGATGTGATATATCCATCGTTCTTCGGTTACATTGATCTGGCACTACTTGGCTATGAAAACATTTCTTATGACGAATTAGAGATATTCTCCCGATCTTCCGATTTAAAAAAAAATTACTATACACTACACTTAAAAGTACAGGAACCGGAGGAGGAGGAGAGAGTCAGTCGAGTCTACTTTATATTATCGTCGGTGTTTATTAGCTAGGCCATGTTTCTAAATACGTATTCCAGTTTTTAAGATGTGCCACTTTTTAAAAAGAGGACGCAACTTTAAAAACTGGACATTTTAAAGTGGGAAACACATCCTTAAAAACTGGAACATGTCTTAACAGTGGCATGTTTTAAAAGTGGACCCTACCTTACAAACTGTACATGTCTTAAAAGTGGCCACACTTATATAAACTGGACATGTCCTAACTGGACATGTCTTAAAACTGGACTGTTTTAAACAGTGGACATATTTTAAAAGAGTATACACTTAGATGTGTCCTACTTTTAAGACATGTCCAGTTTTAAGGTGTGTCCTCTTTTTAACAATATGTCCACTTTTAAGACTGTCCAGTTTAAGAAACATGTCCGTTTATAAGGTGTGTCCACTTTTAAAGCATTTCCAGTTTTATAAGGTGGTGTCCACTTTTAAAGCATGTCCAGCTTTTAAGGTGTGTCCTCGTTTAAAAATATGTCCAATTTTAAGACATGTCCAGCTTTTAAGGTGTGTCCTCATTTAAAATAATGTCCACTTTTAAGTACAGTTCCAGCTCTTTTAATGGTGTCCTCGTTTTTAAAATTGTCCACTTTTAAGACTGTCCGCTTTAAGGTGTGTCCTCTTTTAAAATATTGTCCACTTAAGACATGTCCCCACTTTTAAGGTGTGTCACTCTTTTAAAATATGTCCACTTTGAAGACATGTCCCACTTTTAAGGTGTTTCCTCTTTTTAAAAATTGTCCACTTTTAAGACCTGTCCGCTTTTAAGACATGTCCATATTTTTAACGTCATTTTGAAAACTGTCCATTTTTTCAGACATATCCAACTCTCAAAGTAAGTTTCAAAACGGCTACTTTCCGTGATTATGATTAACACACGACTCAATACAGACGAATGTAAGAATAGAAATTGTATTGGCTTGTAGATTCACGGATCGTGATCAATTTATCGTTTCGATGGGGCAACAGACCAAATTTCTGATATAACTATAATGTGATTGTTTAAATAATTTTAAAAAGGGACAACTTAAAAGCTGCGGACAGTCTTAAAAGGGGACATATTTTAAAAGAGGACACACCTTAAAAGCTGGACATGTATTAAAATGGACATATTTAAAAGAGGACACACCTTTAAAACGCTGGGTATTTCGCTAAACTCCAAAGGGCCAATTAATTGAACGTTAACACATCGTTCTGATTCGTATCTCAAACTGTTACATTTAACGCGGTAGCTTCATGATGCTACTTTTATCGGCTGGGTTGGATCGGCCAGTGAGGGGCAACTGAGAGATCAAGATATTACAGATAGAAAGATGTGAATCTATTACCTCATCGTGCAACACATTTTTTTTCTTTTCCTCCGTGCCCGCTGTACTACTTGCGCTAACATGGACATCCATTGCACTTTACGACACACGCGATATGTTGTATTTTTGACATTTACGGCCATCGATATCATTAAGCTTGCAGTTATAGATTGCTTGTTGTTGCCTTTTTGTGTATGTCGTAGACAGAGACGTATGACGACATCATCGATGACGAAGGTACTATTGGCGTAACCGTCTCCGTCCTGTGAATTCTTATTCTTTTTTCTTATCATCGGGTAAAGTGTATAATGCTTCATCGCTTGTCAATTTTTTCAATACCCTTGACATATATTTCGGGGACGTCATATTTTACAATCATTTGGA